GGGCCCGATCATCCCGACACGCTGGCCAGCATAGGCAACCTGGCGTCGACGTTTCGAAACCAGGGCCGGTGGGAGGAGGCCGAGAAGCTGGAGGTGCAGGTGATAGAGACGTTCAAGACGAAGCTCGGGGCTAATCATCCCCACACGCTGACCAGCATGGGCAACCTGGCGTCGACGTATCGAAACCAGGGCCGGTGGAAGGAGGCCGAGAAGCTGGAGGTACAGGTGATAGAGACGTTCAAGACGAAGCTCGGGCCCGATCATCCCAACACGCTGATCACCATAGGCAACCTGGCGTTGACGTACAAAGATCAGGGCCAGTGGGAGGAGGCTGAGAAGCTGGAGGTGCAGGTAATGGAAACTCGCAAGACGAAGCTCGGGCCCGATCATCCCGACACGCTGATCACCATGGGCAACCTGGCGTGGACGTATAAGAGCCAGGGCCGGTGGGAGGAGGCTGTGAAGCTGGAGGTGCAGGTGATGGAGACGTTCAAGACGAAGCTCGGGGCCAATCATCCCTGTACGCTGACCAGCATGGGCAACCTGGCGTCGACGTATCGAAAACAGGGCCGGTGGGAGGAGGCCGAGAAGCTGGAGGTGCAGGTGATAGAGACGTTCAAGACGAAGCTCGGGGCTAATCATCCCCACGCGCTGACCAGCATGGGCAATTTGGCGTCGACGTATCGAAACCAGGGCCGGTGGAACGAGGCCGAGAAGCTGGAGGTACAGGTGATGGAAACTCGTAAGACGAAGCTCGGGCCCGATCATCCCGATACGCTGATCAGTATAGGCAACCTGGCGTTGACGTATAAGAGCCAGGGCCGGTGGGAGGAGGCTGAGAAGTTGGAGGTGCAGGTGATGGAAACTCGCAAGACAAAGTTCGGCCCGATCATCCCGACACGCTGATCACCATAGGCAACCTGGCGTTGACGTACAAGAATCAGGGCCGGTGGGAGGAGGCCGAGGTACCACAAGCCAAAGAACTTGAACTGTGTTCAAGTTCGCTAGGTCAACGGCAACCCGATACTCTGATCTGCATGGAGAATCTCGCCTTTATTTGGAAGGACATGGGTCGCCACGAAGATGCTCTTGATCTACGACAAGCTTGCTTTGATGTCCAGCAACAGGTATTGGGCACAGGTCATCCGGACACCGCGTCTACGCTGTTAACTCTGAAGGCATGGCTGGAGGAGGACCAACAGCCGCCAGTATAGTAGTCTTTATTATTGAACAACGCGTCAATTGATTCTATTCTCATCAGCTGCCACTGTCCTAAAGTTATGGCTAAGCTAGTGACAATACTAAACGCAAATCACTGTTAGGAGGGCGGATATGCGCCTGCTTCTCTGGCACGAGTCAGCAGTAAAGCACTATGCTGGACTGTGGGGGACAATTGACAGTGGGAACAGGTACGGTATAAGCGCCAAGAGGCCCCCAGACAATTGAACAGAGAGTAAAAAGCGGAAGCCGTTTTCGCTAGTGACTGTAAGAAACCTCAAGTTGAAGGTTTTAGTACCAATGACGACCGCTCTTGAACCGACCCAAGCCCCTTAACTCGTCAGAAATCAGTTCCATTATTCCCTAGACAACCCCACGCTCTTCCATTTTACATCGAACAATCAGACACAAGACTCGAACGAAAAACACTTAAATCAGAAACCTACACGCAAGACTGCAACCTCGGACATGGCTTCCGCCCAGATAAACTGCCCCGTCGTCGGCACTACCAACACTACCCTCCCTCCTTCACATCCAGAAATCGACCTCTCCAAGCCGGGCCAGACCTGCCCAGTCGTCGGTGCGACAACAGACCACCACGCCAACCTTCACAAGCACCCCGACGTGCCAATCCCAGCCGACCGCTCCCCGGCCGACGCATCGGCATGCCCCGTGCTGAAAAACAAGGTAGTCAACGAGGACAAGAGCAGAGAGATAGACGACGATGTGTGCCCCGTGGTGGGCGCGGCGACGACGGTGCTCCCGCCCGATCACCCGACTACTGAGGGCAAAGACGACGAGGCGGTTTGTCCGATCACCAAGGCCAAGGTTGGATCACAAGGGGAGGTTGCAGGGGCGTCCGGATGTCAGTGGGAGAGGTGACGGCGCCATATGCCCCGTTGCGGCTGTAAAGGCGTAAACGGAGGCTATCATTTGATGGATGCGGATGTTGGATTGTGCGAGCGTGCAAGCATTTGGCAGCGCGATAATTCATTCAAGTTTTTGGGCTACGCTGGAAGCCCCCGATTGGCAAGTTGAAGTGGTTTAACCCGAGGAACTCGTGCCTTCATGAGGAGCAAATCACTTCATCGCCGGCGCATCTCGCAACCACGGTACCAATCCATTCAGGCTGTTAGTGCAGCCCAAATAAAGTTTGTTAAAATCATTCGCTCGACTAGACTTAGTTACCTCTTTTAACAGGATCCGCAACCGAGGTACATCGACTGGAGCAGCGCAGCATATCGAAGCGAGTCAAGGCATTGAACAGAACGACAAGACCGTCTGGGCTATCGTCCATCACAATTACTTACCACCCTATCTTCGCAAATATGCCTGAAACTAACGAGCAGGTATTCTGACTCCAATCAAGGGCATGTTTTTACTACATGGTCATTGCCGTATTCCACCTATTGATGCAACCTTCCGGCGACGGTACTCGATACTTTTCTGAGAACCATACTGGCACCGAGCCAAGCAGAAGAACGAATTGCCTTTGCCGTCTTGGGCGTCGCCCCCCGGTTCTAGCTGAGATACATCTTCATCGAGGCAACATGAACGACTTGCTCAACGGCCGCGGTCCGCAATTACCGACCATTGGCAGCACTCGCTCTTACAGCCCGGAAAACAGGGCCAACAGGGCCAACAGAGCATGCACATCGGGCTGCTTCCCGTTTCAGCAGCTTAGTCTGGGGCAAGTCTGCACGTTAGCGGCGCTTACGCCACATGCAAAGGAGGACTGGAACTCGTTGAAACGGTCAGAGAAGTGTCGGTTGGCGATTTCGCAGCAGCTGATTCGATGAGAAACCCGCGGCGCCACATGGCCGACAACCTGGCATTCCCAACCGACGGGTGACCCCCAAATTTAGCGCCCCCGAAACATGGTTGGAGGTGCGAGCCTCACGGCCAATAGACCGGGGCTAGATCCGGTGACCGGGGTGTCTTAGACGGACAGTTAAAACCGAAGACACCGGGTCAGGTCACCGGGCAAAATGACCTCTAGGTCTGCAGTGCGGTTGATCCGTTCTCGGCTGGAGTTGTCTTTCTTCTTGGTGTCGTTCAGAGTTGCGAACAGGTGCTGGCATCTCATTTGTTTTCTACAACGTCTCAACTCGGCTTTTCAAAGTTATTGCAATTTCATAGTCTCTAGAACACAGTTCAAGCCCAAAATGCCCTCGTTCACAAACAGGCGCAACGTCCCCGACCGCTTCCGCCCCCTCAGTAAACCCGAAGACGGCCTGATGGAGGACATGAACCAAACAACCCCAGCCGCAAAAGACGGCAGCTCCCTCACGCTGGGCCCCTCAGACGGCTCCCTGCTCGATTACTTCGACCTGCCCTCCCCGCCAAGCACCCCCCAGCGGCCAACACACAGCCTGGCTTTCTCCTCCCTGGCCGGCCTCTCTAGCCCTGCCACCAGCCCAGTTCCCTCCCTCCGATCTTCTCCCATCGGCCTCAGCACTCCCAGCAGCATTAGCAGTGGAGCCAGTCCCAACTCCAGCCCTCCCATGACAACCCTCCCGCGCTGGCCAACCGCTTCGCAGCGCATCCACCGCCGCCCAATCCGACCACGGTCCCGGAGCGCCTCGTCCGTCTCGTCGTCATCGTCTTCGCTAACTTCTTCTTCGACGCCGGTAGTTGACGCAGATGTCGATATGATCGGCACCGATACTACCGGCCTGCCGGGCGGCGCCGGCGGGACAACTGGAATACCGCCGCTGATCCGGTCGACGCGGATGACGCCGTATTACCCGCCGAACTCGTCACGGAATGTGGACCGCGCGAGGGTGTACATGAACCGGGGCCCGCATTATATCCCGAACTGGACGCCCATGTCGAGCTTGCCGCGGCATGTGCAGTTGCAGATTGAGGAGAGGCTGATGAAGTTTACGGCAATTTGATATGGAATGGGGCAGCGATGGGATTGTGTGGTGTTCTGTTTCTGAAGTAATTTGACGGTTGGGTGTTTCATGGCGTGGTTTGATGGACGTTTTTGGGTTTGCGGAGTTGGGATGGGGGTTGTTGGTGCATCGTAGACCGGGAGGAGCATGCTAGATGGTGGGTGGACGTGTATGGGAGTATGGATAATAAACACGGTTGCGAGACATTGAGTACCGCGGCTTCTAGCATGGACTCTTGTTTGAATGATGGAAGTTCCGCATGTCGCCTGTCAACAAGCGAGTCCAGCCCTGATACATGTATGTGCTGATGCTATTCTGCCCCAGTACGTACCATCCCAAACTCTAGCAACCCATCTAGCTTGTTTCGATATATGCCTCAAACCCATCCATGCCGTTCAGAACTGGTATTCCGCGAAATATCTTCCTTATGCAACCTTGACGCCAATAGCACACCCAGTTACCCCAACTTTCAGGCGCACATGATCCAACTTCCAACATCCAGTCAGCCAACTGAAGGGCAGCCAACGACAAAGGGTGATTACGACAAGTCCCATCGACAACACGATATCCCTCTGCTCGCTCCCTACGGCACGGGAGGATGTATCGTGAGCTTCTTCGGTCTCCTACTTCCAAGATGTGCCCTGGGTAGTAGTCAACGGCGCTTGGGACGAGTATGAGACGTTCGACTTCATTCTGTAAGGCGCCGCGCCCCTGAACGTGGCGGTGGGAGAGGCCTCGCGCCAGCCAAACTGTTTGGCCTTGCCGCGAGTGACTGGACGGACTTTGCCGTCGTCGGTCCGCCTCATCTCTCTGAACCGGGGCTTCTTGGCCCTGATAGAAAGTCGGGACAGGGCTCGCCGTAGCCACATGTTGGCAGCCATCGGTAAGAACAAGAATGGGATATACAAGGAGAGGAGATCTGGGATGGGTATCTTGGACTTGCTCGAGAATGTAGAGAACGGTGAGCTGACTGGAGGGCTAAGTTAAGGTATTTCCCAGGACAAAGGAATGAATCGTCAGGTAGGGTGGGTCGGGAGCAATGACGGTCAATCGAGGTTGACTTGAAATGAACAAAGAAGATGACAAGGAGATGAATTGACTTGGTCGCATGCCGGTATCATTAAAGACCTTGAAACGCTTCCCCTTACGCGGCACTGTTGCACATCATACCTCGTCACCGGGCCTGTTGAACGACAGGTCCGGTGGTGGGATGAGGGAATGGTCTCATGCCGGAGGCACTTTGACAATCTGAACATTCTCGCAGTTAAATGACCTTGTTACTCAGGTCTCCAAAACATCTCACGCCCCATTTTCGACACAACCCAGGTTTTCTAAGATATTATCTCTTCCGATAGATACCGCGGCGGGCTCCGGGAAGTGGGTCCACTCCGCTTCCGTGCCGCACAAAAAGTGGAGCGGGCCGGACCCGGCCTCGGCTGGTCACCCGGCCAAGCCCGGTTCAGGTCTGAAACAAGCAGCCAGTATGCTTCAAACGGTGTGGGCGTACATGAGTGCCTAAGGGGCCGTCACATTGAAAACCACCATTACAGCGAATCATAACAAGCCTCGTCGTACCCCAGCCTGCTAAACGCAGATATCCCAGTTCGGCCAGGGGTGTTGACCTCAACCCGAATTAACAGCGGACAACGCATCAGGTTCATTTTCTCGAAACCCGCAGCTTCGTCATCAAGGACGTGGTTTCGGCAAGCCGATTGTTTCCGCGCTCACCGGATTCGGGAAGGTATAAGTGCTGTACGTACCCATCAGCCCCGGCTCTTGTCGCTCACTTCTTTCACATTTTGCCTCCTCTACACTCCACCATCACGATCATCGGTAGATTCGAGCATTGTAGACAGAGTTCGAGGCCAGCAAATCCATCAACACCACGGATCACACCATGAACCGCTCCCAATACGTTCATCAGACTGCATTCCCACCGAGCCCGTACAACCCACAGTCTTATGGCGCAGTTCCCCAGCCCTCCCAGATGCAGGGAATGGCACCTCATCCCAACGCAGTGCCTCAACCGGGGTACAGCAACCCTACACCCAGCATCGGCCAGTCCCCAATCCAACCTTCAGTCTCGCCCAACACAATGTGGACGGCAAACTTCGCCAACGGCCCCATCATCGAGGACCTGTGCGCTCCGCCTCCACCAATGGGCATCTTTTCAGCCTCACCTCCCATGAACGCTTTCCCACCAGGTATGGCCATGGGTCCGATGCACCCAGGCTCCATGCCGCAGGTCCAAACCGTCTACGGCATCCGACATCACCCATTCGCCGTCCCTGGCATGCTCCCACCTGGTCAGGGCGCGCCAATGCAAGGCATTCCTTCGACAAGGGTTTTGGGTACATACCCGCCCTACACGGGCCAGCAGCACGGCTATGCCTACCCCGGTCGGCCGATGGATCCCAGCATGAACGCGATGCTGGCCCGGCCGAGGTTGGAGACGGGGTTTCCGCATGCGGTACCTCCTGCTCCGCCGGGGAATGCAGCGGGTATGGGGCACATGAGCTCGCCTCATATGGAGGGCAGTCCCGGTGGTGATGCGATGCCGCCTCTGACGCCCGTAGAGGAGGCCTTGAGGGAGTTCCTGAGCCCGGATTTGGGGGAGTTGGGTCGTTCTTGAATGGTTACGTCAGGATAGGACAATGAATCGGGCTCTTCATCACTTTAAACGCATGGAAGACGGGCATCATGGTTCGGTTTTATGTATTTCCTATCTCAGGATTTCAGGACTCAGCATCGCATTGCATCCCGGCACAAAAGTTTTATGTGGCATTAAGACATACTCTTTTGGAATTCCCATCGGGCCCACTAACGTTACCTATCTTGGTGAAAGGAACCTTGTTCTCTCTGAGCAGACAAATGCAGACCTAGCTATGTCCAAGTTGAGTGAACTTCATATGAGCTATTCCCATGGGCTGGCAACACGGAAATAATTCCATTGTATCTATTGTATCTGAGTCGACTGACAATCATGTCACTTGTGCTGCACCCGACACAGCCTGCCATTCTGTCCCGCCGGATACCCATCGAGGGTAATCACCGCCCACTCCTCGCTGCCCACCGTCGTCCTCGCCCAAAACACCCCCCACGGATCCCACTCCCTCTTAATCCCCAACAGCCGCTGATAGTGCGAGCCATAGAACCTATCCTGCCAGTTCGACTCCGCCGGGTCGCCCTCATTCATGTACGCCCCCGCGTCCGGCATCAACTCTTGCCCTAGTTAATATTCACACGTCAGCCTGTCTCCCCTGTTCCTGTCCCAAAACCTTTATTAGGTCAAGTCGATTTTCAAAGGGAAATACTCACACCTATCCACATAAGCCTGCACCCGCGCATCCCTCCCCCTCGCCTCCTCCGCCGTAATCCCCTCAGGCTGCACCTCATTTAAAATGGCATGCAGCGCCGTCGCCCGCCACGCCTCGTGGACCGCACTGTCCCGGCCCGGCCACCCGGCCATCTCGGCCGTGGGCGAATATGCGATGCCGTGGAAAGTGTACCCGCCGTCCTCGACCGCCGCGCGGACCGAGGCGAATACCTCAGCCCAGAGCATAGCGTGCCCCCAGACGTAGGACGGGAAAAGTCGGGAGCGGTACCGCGTGTTGGCGGGCTCTGCGGCGCCCGTGCGGCGGCTGTTGCCTGCGTAGGGGACTGCTCTGATGGCGGCGAGGGTTGGGAGAGTGACGGGGATGGTGTGGAGGGTGTTGAGCTGGGTGTAGAGCGGGGAGAGCAGCGCGGTGAGTGCAGGGGCGGTGATATTGGGGATGGTTTGGCTGCTGGTGAAGGTGAAGGATGAGTTGCCCAGCGGGTAGATGTAGCTGTAGCAGAGACCGCCGGCGGCGATGATATGGGCGCAGTAGTGATACGCGAGGGAGACGCCATTCCAAAAGGAGGTGATGTTGGTGAGGGAGTTGGGCGTGAGGGTGCGGTTGAGGGGGAGAAACGGGTTGACGGTGAAGCTGAGGGAGGTGGATGTGATGTTGATAGCTGGATATGCTTTGAGGACGACGGATGTGATGACGCCAAAGGTGCCTGTCCATGTTAGTCGAAGTGGGACATATGTGATGACTGAGGGCTTACTTGGCCCTCCGCCTCTGAGAGCCCACCACAAGTCTTTGTGGTTGTTGGGATCCACAGTCAAGAAGTGGCCATCGGCTGTGACGATGTTGTTGGATAGCACTTGGTCTGCACCCAAACCGTACTTCGAGGTTAGTAAACCATGACCGGCAACCGAGATCCATCCGCCAACTGCCCCGACGGTGCTTCCGCCTGGTGCGACGACAGCGATGTTGTGTGCTGCCATGTGGTTATGATGTTCCCAGCTCTCGACGCCGGCGCCAACATGCACTGCCATACCAGAGTATTGGCCCACCCTGTAATGTGGGATGAACTCGAAGCTCTTGAGGTTGTGAACCCAGATGCTGAGCGATCCTGCGCCCATGGAGCGCCCGCCAAAGTCATGACCGGTGTTCCTACGAAGTTGTCAGCTCTTAGGCACGCAATAGGCACAGCCGGTAAGACTCACTTTATGACAAGTCGCAGATTCTTGTTCCTGGCAAAGTTCACGGCTGCTTGTACTTGCTTGACGGTCGTGGCGTTTACCACATACTCCGGGAACCCTCCTCGAGTGCAGCTGCCCTGCGGATGTGAGACTAGTGTGCAAGTGCTGCCCTGCGGCCACTGCGTAAGTGTTGACAGCGGATCATCGAGCCAGAAATGCGTCCGTCCAGCTTGATTCACAAGCCACCGACAGGTCGACTCGTTGTACTGATCTCCTTGGTAACAGGCAGATGCAGGGGGAAGAGGCTTGAGAAGAGCACCCCCAAGTGAGGTGTTCAGCTGCTGCCACTCCGAGTCGCTCGGCCAGTCGTTGCTCCCAGGCCAAGCCCGGCATCGTGCGGTGGTGGTGGTCCGGGGTGATCCTGCAGCTTTGTTGTCAAACCGGATCGCCGGGAAGTCATGGCTATCAGCCGGGTCGAGCCGGATGGATTCGTAAGAGAACGTCTTGCCGACCACCTCCCAAAAGGCTAGAAGAAAGATCGCCAGTGAGATACCGAGGGGAGACATTGTGAAACGTTGAAGGTGACCTTGATCTTCGACGGCGAATGGGCATACAGGAGGCCTAGCAGGAGCATCTGCCATCAAGGGCCCATTTGGGTCATTGCCCCTTTTCACCACCTCGCTGGGGAATGTTTTTGGCTCCGAGTCACTTACCAAGTTCCCTGTGACTGAGGCGCATTCGAATACGGGATGCTGCAGCAACTTGAAGGTAACTCGTGGCGGTTAAAGAGGTGCAGCTGCAGACAATGCTGCGGGCCTCGCCGCCCGCGCGGATTACCGGTCAATGTTTGATTGCGGAATCAACCCAATGGAACAATGATAGACGCTCGAGTACTACCTACAACGGGATGATCGATTGATTGCCGACCAACAACTGCGGGGCGAACGGACTTCTGGGGCATCGTAGACCGTCACCCGGCGCCGCATATTGCGGCTGAACATGTACACAGCCATACTTTACCTCCTGCCCAGTTCGTTGAATACCAACTCGAACTGGCCGGCCTACTGGCATTGAAGGACCGTGTGGTCCTTGTCCACGGGGTCCGGGAGTCACGGGCATCATACCACTTGTACATTTGTACCGTATCCAAGTCGCTCCGGAGGAGGAAAGTTCCATGATATAATTACCTTAGTATTGGTCAATACTCCTGAGCAAAAGATGTCTTGTCTTCCTCAAGCGGGCAACTGGGAGAATGCGCCTGTCGGTGAATATTGTGGTGTCCGTCCCCGGGACTGGCCGCCCTTGCTTTCCAAACTTCCAGCATCTTTTGGGTGGGTGCCATGGGTGGTGCAGGACGGCGGAAGCGAATGCATCTGCTGACTCGCGGCACGGCTGCAGATTGGACCCGAGTAGTCTGGTTCCTGAAGGTAGGTAGTTTCTGGAAGTTGGTAAAAGCATATTGTTTTCAGTCCGTTAGGGTTACATTCAGTCAGTTTCTTCCTGCCACTAATCCACCCAAACTGGCTTGCAACTATTTGTTCTCTGACGCCCCGTCCCGCCATGGCACCCAAGGAGAAGTTCGATGATCATCCATCTTGTTTCATTGGACCTGTCCCATGGAACCACTTTCGCCCGCTGGATTCATAGTCACACGTGCATGCGGCTTGGGTCCATTGTGCTTCCGGGCCTTCGTTGCACGGATACCCCGCCCTCTTCATGTTAGGTAGGTTCCTACCATCACCGGCAGCATACATGTACCTTCTGAGCAGAAAAGCCACAACATGGAGACCGAAAGACTTGGGAAATCCGTTGGCGCAGCGAAGTCGTCAATTCAACGTCATCTTTTGCCCGCCTGCGAGAGGAAGCAGCGTACCTAAGAGAGAGATTGACGCCGGACTCAGTTTTACGCTTAGACGGCTCAGTGCCTGGTTAACCAACGGCCGTGCACAAAGGAACATATGAGAGCGAATAAGAAGTTTCTCACGGGTCTCATGGTTAGCTATCTAACCGTCGGAGTCGTCTATGTCATGGCAGTTACGCCTTTTAGCTAGAAACGTCGGCTCAGCCGCATAGGGTTGGCGGCAACCGCCGCATGGATCGGCCTGCAATGGAACCGGTTCCGGTCCATGAGGAGACTGGTGGACCCTCGCTACCCGCTGCGTGAACTCTCGGCTGAGGAATCCCAGCCGTTGATGCACAGGCTGTAGAGGTTCCTGGATGAGGCGGATACCGCTCCACCAAGGTACGTATGCGCGTATGATGAACTTACCTTAGTTGATCGACTGGAGTCCCTGCAAGATGTCCTGCCGTTCTACCTTCGTTCCGAATATTGACTGAGATGGCACTATTGCAGGCCACATGTTGATAATCCAGCGCGCAACCCGTCGCAGCTTGCAGTGATACACAAGGCATTACAACTGATCTATTGGGAACACGAGCCTGTTGACGCATTCTACACGACGTTACCGCTGGATGTCCATCATTGCGCCTCTTAGTCCTCCGCTCAGCCGATTCTTTCGATGCCAAAATAAAGCGCTCCCTGTATGTGAGCGATGTCAGGGACACCTACGAAGCGCTCTCGTACGTCTGGGGCGACGAGCGTACCGGCTAGGACACCATCAAGCTCGACGTTAAATCATTTGTCGTGCGCCGGAACCTCGCCGTTGCCCTCCGCCACCTTCGGAAGAAGGACAAGGACCGCAAGCTCTGGGTCGACGACGTTTGCATCAACTAGAATGACACGGCAGAGCTGAACTCTCAGGTGGCCATCATGTCGGTCGCCTATGAAAGCGCCGACTCCGTCGGGGTATCCCTAGGCGCCGACGGGAACAGCCCTTGCTCGGAGCTCTTTGATTTTTTCGCCATGCTGCAATGGCCGATGTCGATTCAGTGCTCACGAGGATCGATATCCCGACGGTTCTCAACCAGTTCTGATCCCTGCTTCGGGTACCATGGTTATCTCGCGTGGGTAGTTCAGGAGTTGGCCTCTGCTCGGCGTGATCCGCTGATGGTCTTTGGCCACCGTCAGACCGATGCCAGAACTTTGTGGAGAGACCTTGACCTTATCAGTGAGAGGCTGAAGGCAAATCTAAATTCCAAGATTCCTTGGATGTCGGAATGGGAGTGCCGGAAACATGGACTTGGAAAACGGGAAGAAGCATCGTCCAGAACTCGTACCGGCCATGTCCTCGCCAGCGCACCCCATCCTCTGATCGAGATCGGACGTAAGCTGTAAATGCGGCAGTCTCTTCTGAACTGGCTTACCATGTTTCATCCCGTCTATCCAATATCGCCGACCTTTCAAAATCATTTCGTGAGCATATGGCGACAGATCCGCGAGACCAAGTCTACGCTCTCAACTCGCTCATGATGGAACATTTCCGGACCGCTCTGGTGCCGGACTACAACTTGTCGAGGGCGGCAGCATACACGAAGACGCGGTTTGTCTGTTGTGCATCCAGCTCTGGCCAAAGATGTACAGCTTCTTCCCTGTAGGACACGATCCCGAGGTGCCGCCGTGGGTGCCTGACTTTTCCCTGCGCCTGCCCTCTGACCTCCTTCCGACTACGAACTACTGTGGAGGCTGGCTCCACGGATCAACGTGGTCGGCCAGGCGATTACTGCGTCACCGGGGGTCTGTTGGAAACCCGATGTATCGACTGCGCCAAGTGATCTGGGTAAAGATATTTATGTTGAGCCCGCTGACCGCATCGTTTTCCACCCACGAGAACCCGGTGTGACGAGAAGCTCGAAAGACCTAACTAAGGCGCCGCAAGTGCCAACCCAATTCAATCATGCGGCAGTCTTGGACCCCCTCTTAAACGACGCGAGTGATTAAAATAGGGAACGGGATTTGAACGAGTATCAATATCGTCTTTGGGCGCGGGCCCAGTGGGATCCGAACCGCGCTTCATTCATCACACGCGAAGACTTTGAAGAATTGTGAGAGCATCTGCCACCGTCAGTCACCTGGTACAGATTTACCCGGTTGACCATGGCATCGGGAGTGACGAATTGGCGCTTGGAGGAATGCTTACCGCTAGAGGAGAGCAGGCCGTAGGCTAGTAGGTGCCTAAATCGTGCCCAATCCTTCGATACAGGGCCGATAAGGCGATATGAGAAAGAAAAGCCGAGAGATGCAGCATACCTTACCTGGAAGCACCCGCCAGTGCCATAAAAGAGTCTCAGATTCTTTGCGTGGCGTCCGAAACCGCGGACTGACGCTTATTTCTTTGAGAGCCATCTGGTCTATAAACCCCTGCGGTCTCTTTTCCATTAAACCCTTCCGTAACTCCTCGGTTTATCATGAGAGCTATCGTGGCCTTGAACTTATCGTCCCCAGCCGGGGAGATGTGCCACTTCGGCAACAGAATTCGTCCTGTGTCCTTGGCAATTTGGGGCTGAGTGTCCAGCGCCTGCTGCGTTCCTCCCACGGAGTTCTGAATGTTATGGTAATCTGCTAAGCCTGAGACATCATTCAGTGGGCGATCCAGGCCGTCGTGCTGCCACATGTGCAGGGAGGGAGAGTACCACTGTCTGGGCGTCTCGGGTCAGGGTGGGGGGAGATCCTGCGGCACTTATGGTCGGTCTAGAATCCTCCAGTGACGGATCCATTGCTGCTGACGGGAAGGACCTCGCCAGTAGCACCGGTTTAGCTTCAGCCGTATATTTCAGTTCCAGCCCTTTTTCCTACTTCAAGTTCTCATGCAGTACGAAGCTCCTGTCATGGCCCCTCTCCCGCCAAACCGTGGCAACCTAATCATGTCGTACTTATCCGGCGAGCTGACAACAGTGCGAGCACGGTAACAAGCCGCGTTCCTCGGTGTATCTATTGTCACTTCCCGCTTGCTTTTACTTAGAGTAGGTAGCTTGATGCCTGTTTCAAGGTTGTACAGCCCCCAAGCGGGCGCAGAGTGAAATTACTTGCCTGACCAGGTGCAGCCCAGCAAGCGTTCTATCAATTCGACTATGGACCAAGGATGGCGGAGCAAGACCGTGCGGTCAGTCATGCCCGGGGGTCCTCTGCTGGCTGTTATGACCTGTCAACACTTCGCCTGGATCGAGGTGCAGTGCTCAGACGCGACAGGCTACTGGAGAACAAGGGCGAGAAGTATCTTGCGTGACCATAATCCCGATGTAGCATATGCGAGCGAGGGCTGTGAAGAGGATGTTGGCATCTTACCTAACCTTTACTTTGTCCAGAACACAACAATACCCTGGTAAGCCTGGAGCATTGTCGATCGTGTGGACGGGAGCGGCTGACATGGAACTGCGTGAACAACCAACGGGGTTGAAGCTTGGGACAGGGTCTTTATCAACCAGCCCCGGGCTTACTGTAAGGCTCTCAAAGTCCCCGCTGAGGCCCCGGGTTGATTCAAGAGAAAGCTGTGGGCGATGTCGGAGTCTCGGACCCTGCATCTGCGTAGCGAGGTGTGGGCGATGGACCCGAACCCTGGATTGGCGGGACACCAATCTTTCGATAGCGCGGGCTTCCATCAACGGCGGCCTCTCGACCATCCATTGGGTTTGCGGTTTCGCCGGCGTCTTTTTGCACCCTGCGCCCCAAGCTTCGCCACCCCACACCAAGACAGCGGCCCCACCACGTGGCTCTCGTCCAATGAAGCAAGGGCCAGGCGCCGGGGCCGCCTGACTGCACCTCGCGCTTTCGACAGCGCGGAAAGGGCGCTGATGAGATTGCGTGTCAGGCGTGATGAGAATACGATGAAAGTGAAAAAGTCAACCGTGTCATGGGAGACACCAAAACATGATATATTCCTGCTGGCACGCTCCCGCTGAAACCGACAGTTGGAACGATCCAGTGATGGGCAATTATCAAACTTGATGAAGTGTCTTACTCTTACCTCGGATTTCAAGCGCCTCAGCCACATCCATCCTCAAAAGTTTCATTCCCTGCGCCAGTTTCAATTTCAGCCTGAGCCGAGCCTCAGGTCACGTCTCGACCACCACTCAGCAGACCAACACGCGCCTTTCATCACCGATGCCATTCATCACCGCGACACCAATCAAACCCACCAAAATGACAGTCCCCTCTCTCACTCCAAACACCTTTGCCCACGAGCTCCTCATCGCCCAGCTTGCCGTGCAGCGCGCCGCGCTGGTCACCAAACGCGTCCTCGCCACCATCAACGCCACCAAATCCATCTCCCAACCTTCGTCCCCCATCGCCGACACCCCAACCACGCCAACAATACTATCCCAGTACCTACACCCAGAGTACTACCCAATCTCACCACTCCCAATATCCCCAACAAGCGACGACAACACCAGCAACTCCCCCTTCCAATTCAACCTCCCTCGCCGCCTCTCCCTCGCTAAGACAGATACCTCGCCCGTAACAGTTGCCGACCTAGCCGCGCAAGCATTACTCATCGCCGCCATCCACTCCGCCTTTCCATGCGACACCATCCTCGGCGAGGAGGACGCGGCCGACCTGCGCGCCGACGCCGATCTCGCGGAGCAGGTATGGGAGCTGGTCTCCACGACGCGGCTCGACGACGCCGAGAGCGAGGCGCTGCTTGGCCGGCCGGGGAGTTTGGACGAGATGCTGGAGGTTATTGATCTCGGTGGTGGTAATCACAATCACTCGATTACTAAGGATGCCAGGAATGGGAGTACTAATGGATCATCATCAGCGACTGCCCGTGGTGGTGGGAAGAGGTTCTGGTGTCTGGATCCGATTGACGGGACGAGTGCCTACATGAAGGGCGGGCAATACGCGATCTCGGTGGCGCTGCTTCAGGACGGAAAGGAGCTGCTCGGGGTGTTGGGGTGTCCGAACTGGAGGTTCGAGGAGGGGATGGGGACGGCGGTGGGCGAGCGGTGGACGGTGCAGGAAAATGTGTTGGATGTGGGCGGAATGGGGCTGATGCTTGCTGCGGTGAGGGGGCAGGGCGCGACGGTGAGGCCGATGGGGAGGGGGGCGCTCAGCGAGGGGAGGCGGGTTGACCGGGGGAAGGGCAAGCCGGTTGAGCTGAGGGAAGTACACCTCGTGGACTCGCAGAGGAGTCCCGCTACGTTGACCGAGAAGGTGGAGGAGTTGGCCAAGATCGCGGGGGCGACATATCCGGCCGTCACCAATCTCTACTCGTCGCACATGCGGTACGCCGCCATGGCACTTGGTGGCCGCGAATTTGCGCAGCTCAGGTGGCCAAAGCCGGGCAAGGGCCCATGGTCAATTTGGGACCATGCGGGCTCGCAGCTCATCTACACCGAGTCGGGGGCCGGAAAGGTGACAGACCTGGCTGGCAACCCGATCGATTTCAGCACGGGCAACAAACTCTCGAGAAGCTGGGGCGTTATCACAGCCGACGAGAGCGTTCACGCCGAGATATTGAGTCTGGTCAACCAGATGCGGGCTGCGTCCCCGTGAGGGACATGATGTGAAGGTCGATGGCGAGCTCAGGGGCAGCCCGGGCAGGTTCCATTTATCTTGGCGTTCTTGGGACACACCTGCATGTACACTAGAGAAGGTCGCATCATCCATGGATATGCATTACAAATACATTACGACCTAGATTTGCGCTTCCATAGCCCTGATGATAGCCGAGCAACCACGCCAGGTCTCTCCGCCCTGCCCTCTTGACCTCGATGCAGCGGTAAGGCGCCACTGGAAGACCCATAGTCACTGTTTTTGCCCTCCCACTCCTTCTGCTTTGCTATCATGAACTCGCGGATGGCTCGTGGGGAGGCGGCGCTGAGATTGTTGGTGCTATCCGTCTTTTTCCTCACGGGGCGAGCGAGGTAGCCAAAGGCACTCTCGAACGCTCCGACGATCGCCGCCCTCGCCCAAGCACTGAACGCAACTGCTAGTGATGTGCCAGTAACGATGCCGGAAAGCACAACTGTAGGCATTTCGGTGTCAGAGGCCGCTTTGACTCATGCAATGTGGTCCTGGCAGATGCAAACTTACACATCCACAGAAACTGCGTGCTCAAATTCATGGTCCCGTTGTTGAATTCTACCGAGTTCATGCCGAAAACGGCTGCGAAGAAGGACAGAGGTAGGAAGAAGATGGTGACAACTGTGAACACCACGATAGATCTTCCCTGGACAACAGTCTCGTCGGCTCTCCGGATTGCCGCTTTCGCCTCGATGATACCCGCCTGCTGCTGCTTCATGTCGAGAAGTTCGCGGAGCTAGGGCCACTTTCATTAGCTGAATGTAGCACCGGCTTGAAGCATGGTAGTTACCTGGCTCCTAGTGTTTGCCTGTCGCTGTTCGAGATTAGAGAGCTCATCCCGCCTGACCTTCATGTCGAGTATCAAGTCAGCTGCTCGGTCGAGAGCGTGTTTAAGCCCATCATGTGGCTCCGGGCTCAGGCCTCGTAGCGCCTTCTCAAAGTCGCTCATGACAGTAATTTGTTGGGTGAAAATCTGGCGAGGGTCAGCAATCTACACAGCCGTTTGTTAGGCCGGTCGAAACTCAAACCTCTTGCATAATTTGCAACTCATCAATGACGTTTTGAGCCTCCATCAGCACAGACCATTCAAACTTGACGTTGAGCGACTTGCGAAGGAGTTCCTCAGAGGTCTGGAGCGGGTCCTGAGCGTTCATCCTCTTAATATCGCGTCCGAATCGCTCATAGGCCTGCGTCTTCTTCTCGGACTGCGGGAGAGTTGGTCAATACTGGGCCTAGCAACAAAGCGAAAGTTAACTTACAATGTTCGAGATGGCGGAGCCAAACATGTCGACCAGCTCTGGACGGAGATCCGGTTTGGTCCTGTCAAAGAACACCTTGGAGCATTCGTCGATGATGACCAGTGCCAAGTCATAGACCGACGTTATCTGACTACTGTCTACAGCCCCTAGATGATCTCGAATCGCGCGATGGACAGCAGAGGGATCCGGCTTATTTCGTCCCCATCTCCGGGGAAAGGCCGTGAGGATGGTGTCTGTCGAAGGTCAGTCCCGGAGCCATCTCCTCACTCTTATGGCTTACACTCACTCTCGTCTAGTATCCACAGCCAGAGCTGGTCGACCATGACCACTCTCGGAACCGCGTCAGGATCGTTTCTCATCCTTGTTGCGCGATAGACGACTTGCTGGCGGTCCCGGTGGACCGTATCCTCAGCGGTCCAATAGAAGTACTGCTCCAGCGTGCGTCTGGGATGAAGCGGCGATTGCGTGCAAAGGTGCTCGCTGATCAGCCGCCAGTCGGCTGCCTCGTCGATGAGCTGGAACAGCTTGGCAGCCAGCCAGAGATAAGTCCCCAGGGGGGAGCGTGGCCTCCAAGTCGAGGACTCATCGTTCCATCCGCCGAATTCCGAGACAGTGCTGTCGATGCGCTCCGCGACCGCCTTGGCCCGGTCGACCACGCTTCCCCACGTGCCCTTGCGTTTGTTGAGACGCTCAAAAGCAGTTTCCAGCTCGTTCATATGTCGTGTCTTCCGGATCACGTTTGTCATCCTCACCAGGCGCTTTTCGCAACAATGTTAGCTGTCAAATTTCTCTTCCGGACGTATCTGGAGGTTCGGGAGTAAATGCGCAGTATCGGGAGCGCGGTCGCTCTCGATACAGCCACAAACGATGTAAATAGTCCACGAAAAAGTACCTTCTCGATCTCCCAGTGGAGGTATGGCATCTAAATAGTCTTGCATCAGCTTGGTGGCGGTGGTAGGAATCCAGCGAGTAGGGCAACTGACAAACAGAACTATGTTTTGAGGCTCGGAGGAGGAGTGGAAGTACTTTGATCCCTCATCTTGCACAGACGTGGCAGTCGTCGTATCGGCGTTGGGCGCTGTGTTCCACGGTGGTGACGGCACGATAGCGCAGCGAGGTCGGATCTGGCGGGAATGTGGGAAGACATTGCCGCCTCCTCTGTCCTGCCCGTGCCAGAGCTCCCGTTTCAGGAGCTTCTCGGTGTTGGTCTGCGGCTTGGACGCCATTGGCTGTTGCGCATTGCGATGGAAAGGGCCCCGATGGTGGGAGTCTAGAGGGGAGTCGTCCTCCCCATAATATCGGGCAATCGCGTCCTTGATAGCGATAGCGGGATCAGTTCAGAGTTGGAATAGGCACTCATGGGCAAACGGTATTCCGTACCTCGACCCACTTCATGTTGTTCGCCTGCACGTGGAAGTAGCGCAACTGTGTCTGGTCTGGCAAACGCTTCAATGGCGTGCGCTCCTTGTCGTAGAGCAAGCGTTGCATCGAGATCTTCTGATGCGGGAACTTGCCATGGCAGAGGGGATGATCCAGCGTCACGCCGCCCTGGTCCTTCTTGAACGCAATCACCCAACCATTGTACCCGTAATTCGACTCGGCCGGGTTGTCGTCAACACCGTCATCGGTAGCATCGAGTCCCGCAATGTAGCTCGCTGGGACAACTGACTGCTGGAGATATGCGTACTGCTGGGTCGGCCACTGCTGCACCTGCTTGAGGATCAAGCGTTGCCGATTCAGCTCCTGTCTTCGGTGGCCACTGGCCCTGGCGATTGCGACTTCGCAGCGGTGTAGCTCCTCCTTGCACCGACTGCTCGCCCGTTCTCTCCACGAGGCATGAGCTTTCCCTAGCGAAACAAGCAGGGGCGAGCTATCGAACGGCGACAGCCGGTGCCCCTCGAAGTACTCCCTCAGGTACCGGATGCGGCGGAGCTCCTTCCTCACAATCTCCTGCTCATGACTTCCGAGCCTCTCGTACAGTTCCTTTCTCTTGGAGAACCTGGCGGCGAGGAAGGCGGCCCAGGCGTCCGTGGGGCCGGCGACAGCGGGATCAGCATACTGATCTTCGACAAGGTATGGCTGCATTGATGGACAGGCCAGGGACTCGACTACCCTAGTTTACCAAGTGTGTAAATAGACGGGTACCGGAGTCATGCTGATTTTCCTTTGAAGGCTCGTCGCTACCATTACCATATTACAGGAAAGAGCATGCGGGATCTAGGGCAGTGAAGAAGATGAAGCTGCCCGTGGGGCAAAAATTGATTGCCAAGCAAATAGATGCGTTGTAATGCAGGGCCGCCAATGCCAATGCCCACTCCGTCGCTCCTTCTCAGCTGGGGGTCCACGGATTTGAGCTGCGGTCTTCACTCGTTAGGCGCAAATTCGCTTCTTCGGCCGCCGCATTGGTGGGTCGTGACTTCGTTTTGATGTGCGTCGGTTACCGGCCCGGCCGAATTCGTACTCAAAATTCCGAGAAGCGGGGCAGCAGTTTGCAGTCCAGTGCAAGGGGTGAGTAATTTTCGTGAGAGTTTTTGCCGTTTCCATTGGCAGACATTCGCGGCAAGATCCCCCTGATCGGAATAGAGAAAACCATCCGTAGTTGGGGGAGGACAGAAAGCTCAGCATCCCGACATCATGATGTTGGACACATGAGATGAGCGTGCCAGCAAATGCGATTCACTGACTCGGCTATCGGGCGTACCTGTATGTTGCCTGGACTGGTCCGCTAACCACATCAAATCCACGCTCACGGTCTGGGCAGTCAGCTGTAAAGGGACAGCATTCTCGCGGAAGGGGAGAGCCGGGGCGGGGGGGGGGGGGGGGGGGGGGGGGGGGGGGGGGGGGGGGCGCTAAATGAATGAGCTTCAGTTATCCCGAGTACCAAGTACCTAGTGATGGTTCGAGAAGGGTTCTTGGGCCGCTTTCCCTGACTTAGGTAAAGCCGCGCTGGTTGCCGACTCCCAGTATTGAGGTACGAATACAGGACGCCTAATCTTCCATGCAACAAGCTTTCGGGTAGCAAGGCTCTAGCAGGGTAAGCAGGGCGTGTGCATCTGCGAATGGTCTCGTTTGGTTCAAGCAGAATGACACGTCTCACATGGGAAAATATAAAGCAGATACTCTACGTTGTAGTTAGCTGCTTTCGAGTAAGCATTCCTTGGTCAGCTACCTGGGGTTTGCCGACTGCTTACCACCTGATTGAGCCGGATAATGTGCTGGAAACGGGCACCAGACTAACTGAGACCATTCGCTGTCTTCTGACTTTGGCTTGTGCAAACGCACGCCTTATCATCCAGGAAAAGGGCAACTGCAAAGACCGTGCTTCCCAGGACCGCCGCAACGATAACCAAGGCAGATGTATGTCCCGGAGGCTTCAGCTGCATCGACCTGTGGAGATGGTGACTCAAATGTATCGAACCGCACACTAAGACCATTATAAATTGGTGGCATTTCAGCAGCAAAGACTAAAGAGATCCTGGCCACTTTTGCAGAGAAGAGGTGTAGGGATCAGTAAGTTTTTCAAACTAAGGTTAGGTGAGGAGGGACTTAGGACTAGCTTTCAGAATTCGATTGTATGATTGAGGCTTGAAACATAAGGTACAGTAACTGCAAATACCCGGGCATCTTTGGTTGGGGACCCAGCGAGACAATGGCCAAACCTTGTGGTTGTCCTATCATTCCGGACACACACCAGTCAAGGCCTATGTATGTGACACATCTTACCCTTGCCCTGCAGGAATTAGATACGATCCCTGTTTGCTTGAGGTTGGAGATTGACAAGTGAGATCCGGGAGATCTTGTGGTGCTTTGAGTTGCTGTAATTAGCATCTCTTTCCTTCGGTCTGAGTGACTGACGCCACTGATGCCTAGAGCAACCTTTCAGGGTCAAATATTGTCTGGGAGGTAAGACAATAGAGCATGAAGATGCTGCCTCTCTCCAACTTCATCAGGTGAAAAGAATGGGAAACATGAAATTGAACTAGTTAGGGCGGCATCAACGTCGTAATTTTGTGTTGGACAAAACTGGCCCGAACTCATGTCCTGAAGTTTGTTTAGTCTTGACAAGGAGCCTGGGTTTGAGGGAGCACAGTGGTGGCTATGCCAAGATTTTCTGTCCTCAAGAATTCTATTCGCTCCAAGAACGTACAGAAGCTAGAGGGAAAAGCATGAATATGCGAATGCTCCATAGCATGGTAGATGAATAAAGTACTTTGTAATTTTCGGTTTTAAAGCGAGAGTCTTCTTCACAACATCTTTACTTCTTGGTGCACCTTCCGGTTCTGGCAGAGGCTTATGATAGGCGAAAAGTTTAGTGGGGTCTGAACCCCGCTGTGTATCGTGCTATAACGGGTAACTCTCGCATCACAGCGCAACGCATCGGCGATTTTCTCAGCATCCCTCTGCCCTCCCTTCCCCAACCAAAGGGAATTCGACAAAGACAGATTGCACAACATGGACGAAAAAAGAGACCTCCCATCGTTCGAGGCTATGTCGGAAATACGACGATGGCAGCGAAGGAAGCCCCGACGATCAAGGGGATTGCGTTTCTTGGCCCTGGGCTGCCTGTGTTTCATCGCGTTTGCGCAGTGGAAGCAATTGTCACGCTGGCCGAGCCCTGTGTCGCATTTGAACCCCGACATCACGATACACGGCCTCTCGGTCAAACGGCTACGGGACGACCTCGCTACGTGTGAGAAGCTGTGGAAGAAGCCACAAGACCCATTCGGCGCTGGCCGGGAACGGAACGCGCGTTACATTAACGGCCATGCTCCGACCCTCATCAAGAATGCCTCCGTCTGGGTGGGCGAACCAACCACCGGCACTCCGCCTGAGGCTGCGCGCAAGGGCGCCGGCTTCAGCTGGACCGATGCCGACGTCTACCTGGAGTACGGCCTCATCAAGCGGGTCGAGTCGTCCATCGCTTTGTCGTCCGTCGCGTCCAACACAGTGGTTTTCAACGCCAACGGTCGGCCTCTAACAGCCGGTATCATTGATATGCACAGCCATGCCGGGGTTGACTCGCTCCCAGAGCTGGAGGGAAACGATGACACCAATGAGATGGCTTCCGACATCACCCCGTATGTCAGATCAATCGACGGCCTGCAACCTGCCGATCATCAACTTCAGGTCATTAAGTCAGGTGGCGTCACTACGAGCCTGATTCTGCCTGGATCCGCCAACAACATGGGCGGCGAGGCATATGTAATCAAGCATGCCGTGGGAAAGGCCGACGGACGCAACGAGACGAGTGCCGTAGACATGCTGGCTGACAAGGACCGCAACTGGCGCTACATGAAGATGGCTTGCGGGGAAAATCCCAAGCGTGTCTATGGCCGACCGGGCAAGCAGGGTCCGACCAGCCGGCTGGGCGAGAGTTGGGAGTTCCGCCACGCCTTCGAGCAGGCAACCAAGCTGGTGCAGGACCAGGACGACTGGTGCAACGCTGCCGCTGCCGGCGTCCACCACATGAAGTCATACCTGCCACAGGAGCTCCGCTTGGAGTCGCTGGGAGCCCTGTTGCGGCACCAGGTTCGCCTGAACACGCACTGTTACACAATTCCGGATCTTGAGGCCTTTGTGGACCATACCAACGAGTTCAAGTTCAAAGTCCGAGCTTTCCACCATGCTCACCAGACGTACTTGGTTCCTGAGGCAAGTTGGCCCTGGGTCTCCTTTACCTACTCTTTCACTGACAACTTGTCCAGATTCTCAAACGGGCATACGGCGGGGAAACCCCGGCAAGCGCCCTGTTTGCGGACAACATGTACTACAAAGCCGAAGCGAACACAGCGTCGGAGTATGCTGGCAAAATTCTGTACGACAACGGCTTGACGCCAGTGTATGTCAGCGACAATCCAGTCCTCAACGCCCAACACGTGATCTTTGAGGCTGCCAAAGGCCACAAATACGGTTTGCCATACCATGCAGCCTTAGCTGCCGTGACCACTGCGCCCGCCGAACTCCTTGGTTTGGGCAAGAGGCTCGGTAAAGTCAAGCCTGGTTTTGATGCCGACGTCGTGATTTGGGACAGCGACCCCCTCAGCGTGGGTGCGACACCCGTGCAGGTTTGGATCGACGGGACTGCCCAGTTTGACAATCCCGTCGAACTGAAGAAGCCCTTTGCTAAGGTGACGGTGCCTAGTGAGAATCTCTCCAAGATCCCCGATGCGCCCCTGGCCATGCATGAGGTGATCTTCACTGGCGTCTCCAAGGTTCTGACCAAAGACGAAGTCAAGAGAGTGTCCTCTAGTACTGTGGTTGTCGTGTCGAAAGGCGCCGTGGCTTGCATCGGATCATGCGAGTCTGAACTCCAAGCGGCGCCCCGGCATGGAACCCCAATCATCAGCCTCCAGAACGGCTGCCTTACCGACTCGTTCACTGCATTCGGCGCCAAGATCGGTCTTAACGCTATCGACGCGGAGAAGGACACCGATAACGGCCCTAGCGGGAGCGCCTTCACCCGCGCCGAGGACGGCCTTACGCTCGACACCCATAAAACGAACACTTCCTACACCTACGGCGTGACAAAAGCCATCTCCGCCCCCAGACTCAGAGGCCTCGACACCCACCATGGTACGAGCGTCGGCTTCCTTACCGGCGCGCGCACCGCCCTCGACAACAACACAGTCTTCGCCTCAGACGTCGCAGTCCACTACACCCTCGACCTCTCCATCAAATCAGCCGGCCAGCCAGATATCGCCTCCATCTCGGCGGCCGTCGGCGCCCTCCGCCGCAAGCTCTTCACCGCAGCCTCTAAGCGCACCGATCCCGTCCCGGACATCTACTCGGAAGAGTTCTACCTCCAGCGGGTGGTCAACGGCTCCCTCCCACTCGTCATAACAGTCCACTCCGCGGACGTGATAGCGTCCTTGTTGAAGGTGAAGCGCGTAGTCGAGGAGGCTACTCAAACTCCGCTCCGCCTGGTGATTTATGGCGGGGCCGAATCGCACCTTGTCGCGGAGCAGCTGGCTGCGGCCAAGGTTGGCGTGGTCCTTGCGCCGGCGTTTGCGTATCGAGCATCTTGGGATCAGAGACGCGCTTTGACGGGGGCGCCGCTGACGAATGGCACTGCAGTGGATAGGTTGCTTGAGGCTGGGGTGTTGACAGGGATTGGGTTGGCTGAGGACTGGATGGTGAGGGATTTGGGGTTGTTTGCAGGGATTGTGTTCAAGAATGGGGAGGGGAGGGTGGATGAGAAGGGGGCTTTGGCGATGGTCGGGGCGAATCTGTATGAGATGCTTGGGTTGGAGGAACATGGGGTTAGGGAGGGACATTTTGTTGTTTGGGAGGGCAGTCCGTTGGAGATTGATGGGCGGGTGAAGGCTGTTGGTGGGGGGAAGGGTTGGGTTGATGTTTGGGGATAGTTGGATACCTCCTTGAGGCTTGGGCTTGAGGCACACCGGCTCTGTGAGTTGGTCATACATAACGTTAGAAATAAGGAATGAGGTAGACACGTCGATATTCATTCATTAATGAACTTGCAGTCTTTCAACTGGTCTTCAGACACTCGGGTTTGGCTCACGCCACAGCATTCGTGAGCAATGCCACCTGATGCGAGGCAACCAGCTGAGCCGCGTCACCAGCCCTTACAACGAAATATGATTCCCGGCGTCTAGATCTCTGCAAACACCTCGCGTTGAACCAGCACAGTTATGCCGAGCGCACACCACCCCTTCGCAACAGCAGAAATACCAACGCACGCTCTCTACATCGCACCCTATGATCGTGGCCAATACCCTCTCACAGGGGCGCAACTAAGCTTTACCACTGGGTCTACTTTCTTGACACCAACTCTCGCGATGATTCCGATTCGGCTGAACAACGGTGCATCGTCTTCCAACTGCGCGCCATGCCAGGCGGATCTTACTACCCCAGTCCCGAGCACATGGCTTTCTCCCAGGGCGGAGCTCCGCGGGAAGTTGAGAGACAAACTTGATGTTGAAGTCAATGTGGAAGCAACTGGCGGTATTTAGGGAATGGTAGAGGGGATTCAAGCTACGTTGAAGGGGGTTGGAGATTTTGAAAGATGAGAGCGATGGATGGAACTGTCAGGACTGGACGCTACAGGGTTCTGAGAGGCTGAGGGAGTTGGGTGTCGTTTACGAGCATTTGGGAAGGGACGTAATCAAAGGGTGGTTGAAGGAGAGTTGAACCAGGCGATTCAGTCACAAGCGAGCAAATACCTACAGCAGAGCGAGAAGACAGTCCCAACTCCAGTGGAGGTATCGAAGAAAGGAGATCTTCTCGCCCAAAATTCTATCTCATGTATCCCTAACGCGCCCCTAAAACGCAACACCACCTAGTCGAGTTCTCGTCCAAAAGCCGCCGGTGAGGCAGCCACTCACCTAGACGGTCATGTAATAATACCGCGTTGCCTCATCCCACTCCATTAAAACCTCGGCCACCATATCCTCTACTTTCACCACGACCTGCCTCCACAGACTAATCCCATACGAGCCAGGTAGCAACGAAGGCGTGACAAGCGCACACAAGTACGTCTCCCCCTTCCTCTCCGCCGCGTCTTCACTCTGAGGGTTGACCTGCACGCCCTTAACATCCCTCACCCTCTCCCCGACCGCATGCACCGGACACATCACCATGGCATACGCCTTCCCACCCACCGCAAAAGAGCCATATTCAGGCCGCGTCTGCCAACGGACCACCATGCCGGGCCTGATCCGCTCTTTGAACGGAACGCTCCCGGCATCCGGCTCCGGATCGGCGCTCGAGTCGAGCGATGCCAGCCGAGACACGACATTGTCACCTGCCGCTGCCGCCTTGCCGTCGCCTGCTGCTTTGTTGGCGTTGATGTAGCGGCTTCGGCGCTGAGAGTCGACGTGCATCGCCCAGAACTTGGTCTGGAACGCTTGGGCTTGCTCTGGGGTGGCGCCTTCGGTCTTGAGGCAACGAGTGAGGAACTCGGGAATGGGCAGGCGCAGGAGTTGCAAGCCTGACTCGCTTGGCGCGAGGAGGAGCGGGTCGATGGGCGGCTGGCCGGACTGGTGGTGGGATTGTCAAGCGTGTTAGTAGCTCATAGTAATTGATACGGACTGGTGGGGAAGGTTAAGGCTCACGTACGTTACTCTCGATCCAGCTCTGGAGTTGTTCGTTGTTCCATGTCGCAGGGACCCAGGGGTCGTACTCGGCCATTTTTGGTTTGGGGCCAACGACGCGCAGCATCTCTGCGTAGCGCAGGGTGTTTTTGCTGGCGCCTATGTCGGCCAGACAGGGGTTGACGCAGGCCACGACGACCGTCTTGCAGGAGCGGGTACTGGTTGGGTCGAAGACGTGTTTGAGTGTCTTAGTGAGGATGCTTTGCCGGAAGGGGATGTAGGCCGGCGCCTTGCTGATCCTGCCAGCGTAGAACTCGGCATCGGCGAGGGCTCGGCCCCTGATGCAGTCTTTCAGAACCGACAGGCTTGTGTTGATTTCCTTGGCTTCCTTCATGCGAGTGGCGTCGTGGGTCGTCTTGTCACGAGCGGCTTCGGACCCAGCGAGGTCGATCAGGTACAGGAGACCTTCTTCGGCAGACTTCATGGCGGGATTTTCGAAGCGGAGGCGGCAGATGGCATGCGAGCGAGACGAGTTATCATTTTTGAGGGTCGGCGCCGTTCGGCGGAGGCCTGCGGCGGCTTCGATGTGCCCAAGGAGCGACTCCTTGTTGGCCACCCGATGTTCAAGCGCGCCGGCCAACTGCGTGGTGCCGAATGAGTCTTCAAGAATGGAGATCTCCTTTCTTTCGTTGAGAAGATCTGGACGAGGAAACGTCAGTCAAGTGTCCTTGATTTTTGGCGTTCGTCTTACCGTAGGCCGTTCGTCCAGCCAACTCAACGACCGAGATGTAGATCTTCCTCTCGCCGTCCAGCGAGCCACCCATCAGAGACTCGGCGACGCACTTTTCCAAGCCCGCGGTTGTGTAGGACTTGCCGCTGGCTGTCTGGCCGTAGCAAAAGACGGTAGCGATACCTCCTCCCCAAGCCCAGGGGACGATGGGCTTCACTACTGACTCGTAGACGTCGGCGGTCGAATCCTCAGGACCAAATACTCGGTCTACGGTGTAGTGCGAAGACTACAGCACGTCCGATTAGAATTCATCAGCTGAGTGTGCCTTGAGGTTACTCACGCTGAGAGTTGGGAGCCCCCTAACAGGTCTCTTCAGTTCATGCAAGTCGACAGTATTGGTTGCACCACGGGGATAAACGCCGCAAGGAAACCCCTCAGCGACTGTGCCAGAAATGTCAGCTGTGATATTACTATTCCGGATGTATTTGAAGGGGTTCGGGAGGGGATGCCCAATCTCCCAGTCGGCAGCAGGATGGCTCCCACGTGTTTGCTGTACCTTCATCCTCGAGCATGGGCCGTACCCGTGTGCAAACCACAATCTCGGGGCTCGCCGCGGCTGAGTTGATGCCCTTTTTGTCCAGCGCGCTGGGCTTGAAAGCAGCAACCAGCCGTTTGTACCGCTCGGTGTTTTCGAGGAGAAACTGTTCCATGATGTGCCAATGAACGAAGAGAGTACCACTGTGGAGTCATCCGCCCAAGACTGCCGATTCTCCTGCAATCGAAAGGACACCAAAATTGAGTTGAGGCGCCCTCACATTATTATGAAGAAGAGAAACAGTTGCCTGATGCCTGACAAGGAAAGATTCGCTGGTTTCCAGGCAACGACTGAACTCATGGTTCCACCAAAAATTGGGCCATGGTGTGTAGGTTCATGGTTTCCAGCCAATCGAGGTTTTTCAGGTGTCTCAAACCCAAGGCATCACCTTTTGATCCCCTTAAAGAGAGAAGTCTTTCAAGCTATTGCCAGTAGTGGCTGCCTGGGGTACAGCAACACGAAGCCAATGATTCTTCTTCGTCTCACACAAAAAATCTCTTGTTTCTAGGCATTTGCCGAAGTTGTCGCAACATGGTTTTGGTGAGAGAGAAGGGCATAACCCTAACCCGCATGCCCCGTTTTTCAGCACAAATTCCAATCCTCACACGAACCAGGACGCCAAGCCACAGTCTCTTACCTAGCGATATTTCAACGCTGAGCAGAAGGCCGGTTGCCTACGATGGCGACTTGAAAAGAAAAGTGAACGTGTGTGGGAGTAGGGGCGCTGTTAGCTGGTGTCCTGGTCATGCCATGGGATATCGACAGAAGACAACGAGGACTTGGCAGTGGTGTTGCAACTGGTGCAACCATTCCACCTTGCGTACGTGCAGATTGTCCTCTCAATTGCCAAACATACCTTACCTTACCTGAGGTTAACAGTGGAGGCTCGGAAACGCCGTCACCATTGAAGCCGGCGACCCGCCATCCCATGTTCGAAGCCCATCCAACCGAGGTTTTAGAATGTATGTGAATAAAGGCGAGGATGGAACACCTGTGATCGGGGGAAACTCGAGACCTAAAGCTATCGCGAAAAAAGCTAACTACCATACGAAGGTCTAGACAAAAATGGATAACTCAAGTTCCTTGTTCAGCCTTGAGCCCTTGGGCACCGCCGATAGGTTCAGACAGAGGTTCCAGTTCCCTCAGGGGAATCGTGGCTCCCCGGACTCTACCTCTTGCACTCGCAGTTACGACCCCATCGGCAGGTCTGAGCATCAGCCCGGCCGCCTCGGCAGTACACGAATATCCAAGATCTGCCACCTGGGAAACGGTGACATTGATTGTCGTTGTCTTCATCACTCCGCCTTCGTCAGTCGTAGACATGTTGTATCGGCTCCGTGGTATCAACGAATCCAGGCTCTCAGTACGGGAAATAGCTCCCTCCCTGCGGTCGGTCTGTTGCGGCCTCCCGGAATCGCCGATATCCCCCAACTTCCTCCCCTCCGTTCCTCCACCTTTTTGCGGCCTTTGATCAGCCGTCGTCTCCTCCTCCCCGTCAGAGTCAGGGTCGTTCCACGACACCTTTCTCCCCACACTGATCTCCGCCCTCGAATCCCGCTTCGCGCTCCTCAGCCCCGAGTCATTATGCTGGTACCGCAACCTCTTCTTCTTGGCGCCCGTATCCCTCACAAACGTCCCAATCGTCAGCGCGTTAGCCGCAAACGTCGCCACCAGGATTTCGGCCGACGCCCACATGGTCCTCGTCGGCTGGTAGCCGTCATCGCGCAGGATCTCGGGCACGCGGTACACGGCCACCACCACGGTGAACAAGTGCAGACAAAACAGCAAAACCAGCAGCGTCTTGCGGCCCGGCGACAGCCGGCTCTTGACCACGATTGGCACGGGCAGCACGACAAGGAGCACGTCTGTTAGGACGTTACAGACGGTCGAGACGAGGAGGTAGACATACCCTTGCCGGCAATGCCCTCCGGGATCGGGCACGACCTGCCAGTAGTAGGCGAAGGGCATGCACTCGGCGAGGTCGGCGATGAGGATGGCAAGGAAGGTCACGGCCAGGCAGATGCGACTGAAACGGAGCAGGAGCGTGTAGCGGTTCTTGCCCGTGTGTCCGAAGAGGCGGTTGAAGAATTCGAGCGTGACGACCTTGAGGACCCAAAGGCTATTTCCACATGATGGACTAGGTTTAGTTGGTTGTTCTTGGGGGAACGGGAACGGGGTCGCGGGAGCTTACACGGCAGGGTGGAGGATGCGGCTGATGAGAACAAGGCGGCTGCCGATGGAGCGGTGGTAGATTTCGGTATTGCTGAGTTGGAGGGGGTCGTCGACCAAGACATTGTTGGTGCCGTAGAGAAGAATAGGATGCACGAATGCCATGCGTAGGAGGAGTGGTATCAGGGCTAGAGCGGCTATCCTGTCCTCCACGAAGAGCATTTCAACGCGTATGTACCGCCCCATGAGTCGGAGAATGATGACGACGGCGCACATGGCGGTGATCCACTAATTAGTAACAGAAGTTAGATGCATTTTCCTCGAGTTAAATTCGAACATAAATGGGAATGATACCCAAGACGTGAGCAGGGTTGCCTTATCCTCGCTGAACGGCCTGGCCGGTGGAGGGGAGGAGTAGAGCCCCATGGTGACATGGCTATGGCGTGACGCGGAATGTATGAAGACGGCTCAGTGGTGGTGATGAGGAGACTCTGAGTTAGGGTTGCTGGCGAGAGGGTTGTAGGTGCCGGGCACCCTGAAAAGTGACTTCTGCTTCTGCTTGAGACTGAGAAAGCGTCATGCTATTGCCCAGCGCGCCAGCGCATCCTTTCAGAGTGCAAGAGGTGATATATTGTGTGGGAAGAGGTGGCGGCTGATGCCTTGAAAGGGAAAGTCTGGATGTCCCTCGGCCGGTCTCGAGCCACCCTGACTTTTCGAGGCCCATGTATTTGTTATCGGACTGTTACAGTAGCATTCGATTGGTTGGTGCCTTGCAGGAGCAGCGATCGGGGCCGACCTTCCAGAATGACCGGGAGCTTGGGATGACCTGGTCCCTTTTGTGGGGAACACCACGCTCACATCAGCGCCAACCCACGGTTCGAGCCTCTTGGACCCTCGTCCGTATCATGCTCCCCCTTCTGGAAGCTGAGCCGTGCCCGAGCGCGAGAATGGTGCAGTAGGCCAGATACTAGCGTTTCAAGACTAACGTCGCTTGGGAAAGGGCAGCGGACGATGCGAAGTCGGCTTCAACCACGGCAGCTGGTTTAATAAATAGAGGAACGGCTTGTTGGGTGAGACGGTAACGGCGAGACCGGTCATTCGGAGGAGCCGGAAAACCAGCAAGCGAACAAGGTAAATATTCCGTCCGTTGTGTCACATGGCGCGCGACTCCGTGTCTGTACTGGATAAATGCAAGCTACCGATACTGTCTCTTGCATGTGGGGGCTGGCGTCATGGAGAGTCGGAACGCAGCCCTGCCGGAGTTACAGGCTTGAGTTCAGCAGCGTGCTGTGACCCTGATACTACGCCACGGCAACTGGAAGCAACACATCGATATCTTTCCCTGGCGGTTGTACCATTGGCTATCAGTGGAGACGCTGACTGGTGGGGTAGACGGGGTCCGGGCTCCCCGTCGCCTCGTGGCGCTGGCGAACCCTACAAGGGCTTGGCGAGACTCGTGGAGAAAAGGTGTTCCCCGTGGGTGGGAAGTCCGAAGTGGCTGACTCGACCTTTCATGCGGACCGTTGGCTGGATCCCTTCCCTCGTCAGACACATTCTGTCCGACGTTGGCAAATGTCGCCATTGTTCGACTCACTCCCCTGCCGTGCCAACAGCTTACCTACCCCAGCCTGCGCCGCACGTCTGCCGCCTAATCTTTATGCCGTGCTTCGGCAGAGGCCGGACGAGAGGCACGCCAGCGGCTTCTCGTTGAGGGACGCTAATGCAGGCCAACGCAATTCCCCTGCAATATCCCAAGCCCAGGCCGATAAACGATTTCGATGATTTGGGATGGGGCGAGCAACCGAGCTCCAATGACAGGCATTCCAGCCCAGGGTTGTCGGAGAAAAAGCCAAGCTTGGGACTTCTGCAATTGTCAGTTTTTCCCTCATGCTTCCTCTCGGCTGACAATTGTCGCGCCAGCAGACCTAAAAAGGCGCCGCGACCTCCTGAGTTATTCGCAAGCGGCTCAACTCTCCAGGATACCTAATCAGCCTAGAACTAGCGTTGCGCTAGGCCCGCAAAGACCTTCCGCTTGGGGCCTGGAGCATCCGGAGGTAGCTCGCTTGCGGGGCAGAGCTGCCAAGCTTCGGGGCAACGACCGAGTCGGTTACAGCTCACGAACTGGCTGACGCCACCATATCAGACCAGCACTCCACGCCAGGCTTCACCACCAGCAGACCAGGTATGCCGCTGAGCTGTCACCCAAAAAGAAGCCAACAACAACTCCTCCTTGGGGAAACACCAAGCGTGGGTGGAAAGTCAGGACTCACCTCGCCGTGACCGAAAACCTGAACCATCTCGCGCTGAAGCACTCCTCTGCTGCTCACACGCAATCTGCCTTCATGGATGTCAAGACCGGCCACCAATCCCAAACGAGATTTGAGCTCTCACGCCGATGAAACCCCAACGATGGCCCCCGGTCACGACATAGAGATGAACCGGCTTGACCGCACCCGCAGCCCAGCACAAGGAAGCACCTTCACCGCCCACGGCCCGAGCTACGCCTCCGTCTCCGACGCCGGGCGGCCCGGTTCCAGCCGTGCCAGGCCTTATGCCACCAACAGCGGCGGCGGCATGAAAGCCAGACTCGGCCGCTTCATCGACTCCTTCCGACGCGAGGACGGGGCCGGCAGCAGCCAGTTCGCCTTCCACGTAACCGACACTGACGCCGACCATGACGGCGATGACGGATTCAGCGGCCGGAGGCCCGCGGATGTGGTAGTCGTCCGGGAGCATCAGGGGAGCCGGTACTACGACCTCCGCTCGGCCAACGCCAAGACGGCGAGCACGCTGTTGGCACGGGAATTGAAGGGAAGGCATCTGCAGATGATTGCCATCAGCGGGTCCATCGGGACGGGGTTGTTTGTTGCGTCTGGTAAGGCCCTGAGCCAGGGCGGTCCGGCGTCGCTTCTGCTGGCGTACCTGATCGTGGGCGTCATGCTCTGGTGTACGGTGCAGGCTCTCGGGGAGATGGCCGTCGTGTTCCCCGTGGCCGGGTCGTTTTCGGCGTTTTCAACGCGGTTTTTGGATCCGAGTTGGGGTTTTGCTATGGGCTGGAAGTAAGTCGCATTCATGCTAGTCCGCCGAAGGTTCCTCCACTGCCATTAAATAGCTCCTTCTCTCCTGGTTCAACTCAAAGTGGAAGTCGCTGACAACCCGCAAACCTCAGTTATGCCCTGCAGTGGATCGTGGTGCTTCCCTTGGAGATTATCGCTGCCGCTTTGACCATCGAGTACTGGAACTCGGAGGTGGAAAAAGCCATCTTCGTCACCGTCTTCCTAATCATTATCGTTCTGATCAACTTGACGGGCATCAAAGGCTACGGTGAAGCCGAGTTTGTCTTTGCCATCGTCAAGGTGACCGCCGTTGTCGGTTTCATGTGAGTTGCCCAAGCCTCTGGGCCCCTGAACGTCACCACTTCAAACCCTGTCCGCTGAATGTGGTCAATGACAACCCTACTGACACTTTCCACAGCCTCCTCGGCATCGTCATAAACATTGGCGGCACTCCAACAAGTGGCTACATCGGCGGCACGTACTGGCACGACCCGGGCGCCTTCAACAACGGCTTCAAGGGTCTCTGCGCCGTCTTCGTCACAGCCGCCTTCGCATTCGCGGGGACCGAGCTCGTCGGGCTGGCCGCCGCTGAGACCGCCAACCCCATGAAATCCCTCCCCACCGCCATCAAGCAAGTCTTCTGGCGCATCACTCTCTTCTACATCGTCTCCCTGACCCTGGTCGGCCTGCTGGTTCCCTACACGGAACCCCGCCTCCTTGGCGCAGCCAACATCGCCGACGCCACGGCCAGCCCCTTTGTCATCGCCATCGAGAGCGCGGGCGCCACCGTCCTGCCCAGTGTATTCAACGTCATCATCCTCGTGGCCGTCATTAGCGTCGGCAACTCGTCCGTCTTCGGCGCCTCGCGCACCCTCGCCGCCCTCGCCGAGCAAGGCCAGGCGCCCAGGGTGTTTGCCTACGTCGACCGCCGCGGCAGGCCGCTAGTCGCCATCCTATCCGTCTCGAGTGTCGGCCTGCTGGCCTACCTGGCCAATTACCAGGCCCATGCCCGCGTCTTTGACTGGCTGCTTGCCGTCAGCGGGCTGAGCACCATCTTCACCTGGGCGAGTACCTGTCTGGCGCATATTCGGCTCCGTAAGGCGTGGTCGTATCGGAACCGGTCGCTGGAGGATATGGCGTTCCGGGCGCAGGCGGGCGTCGTGGGCAGCTGGGTCGGGTTGATCTGTAACCTGTTTGTGCTGGCGGCGCAATTGTGGGTGGCCATCTCGCCGGTCGGAGGTGAAGAATGGAGTGCGCGTGATCTGGCCGAGAATTTCTTTGTGCAGTGCCTGGCGCTGCCGGTGGTGTTGGTGTTCTGGATAGGGCATAAGCTCTGGTTCAGGACGAGCTTTGTGAGGGTGGAGGATATGGATATTGATACGGGGAGGAGGGATTTTGGGAGGCTGGGGATTATCAAGGCACAGGAGGAGGAGGAGCGACAGAGTTGGCCGAGGTGGAAGCGTTTATATAGAGTCATATGCTGATAGATTTCCTGAATATCTCATCTTGCGATACGGTATGTTTGATAATACAGGTACCGCCCAGCTTGTTCCTCTCCTTGCTTATTATGCCGGGGACTTGCTGTCTCCGAGAGAGATATGGACGGCCTCGGACGGAACAAGCTTCGATGGACGGCATGTCCTGCGACCAGGGGGAATGAGCGGAACCTGCTTGCCCCTCATGCGCCGCCGTAGATGCTGAAGATGCACGAAGTAATTCCAGTAAGGTTCAGTAGGTTGCCTCTCGTCAACGCCGGTGATCACAAGCTCTCCTTTGGCAATGCCAAATTAGGGCTTGACAAGGGTCGCTTTTTTCCTCGCCCAAAATCTGTGTAGCTCCCGGATGCTGCCTAATCTTTCACTGCCCCGGGCGCTGAACCGACTGATGATAGCCAGTGCATGATGGTTGGAGATGCTCGCGCTGCCACCAGACAAGATATGTGGTGCCATTGAGTGCTGCTGGCGTAAGAGAGCGACGCACTCTTCCGAACGAGAGACTTGACAGATCTCGGCTGGTTGTTTGAACACGCTGCCATCAAACGGAGCCATGGGAACCGCCTTTCTAATCCGGGATCGCCCCGAAGCTGACCAAGTTCTCCATCGCCGTGATACGTTTTGCAACAGCCAAGCTAGCTGGCTCTTTTGAGGAGAGTAAACCTTTCTTATACTGCGTCCTAGTCCGTTCAAATTGTGCCGTGCAACTGTTGTGCTTGAATGCTTCTGCTGCGAGTGGCGGACACTTGCCTGTCCCTTCCGTTGTAGGTACATGTAGGGCAATTCATGACCTGGAAAACAACGGAGCGGTGCATGCAGAAATCGTCGAGACCAGCTAGGGTTGTTGGGGTAGCCGCGGGCAAGCAATGGCTAAGAACTGAATAATCAATTTTTGGGGTCTTTCTGTTCTAAGTAAGGTGCTGGTTTATGGCTGGCAGTTTATGTTCGCTTTGTGCCTCGGATGTGCCTTTGTTTACCTTAGCTACTTTACCGACGAATCTGGCTCGCAGCTAACACTACTTGCTAATATAACGTGACGACGAGCAAGCAACCACAAAGGGTGGCTCGGGGCAGGTGATTGTTGGCCCTGACCGTCGTGGGAATAGTGAGGCATCGCGGCTTTCTTTCATATCTTCAACTTCACTCAGAGCATCATCTCATAAGCCGCCGTTGCCCATTTTACGAGTCCCAGTCCTGCTCCCTCCGCCAAGTTTCTCGACCTTGGGAACGCCGAGTTGAACTCGCTTCTCTTGTCGCCTCTGGATATCGGCAGTTCTGAGCACAACTACTCCTCACAGACACACCATGTCATCAAGGGGCAGGAGTGACTGTCCAAAAGAAGAAAGTCTCTCGTTCCTCTCACTTCCGATTGGAACACAGTATCGGGCTCGCCACGACGGGGTTCCTCTCCACTTGTGCTACGAATTCTACCAGAGGGCCTTGGGTGCCCGGATCGTTGCAGGCGGCAAAGCGCCTGGACAGATCGGGGAGGTGCGTTCCGCGTTACCCTGGCCGCGCTGGAATCTAGTACACTATGACACAGAGCATGAACATTGGGAGAAGGAAAATCACGTGGGTTGGGTACGAGCGAGCGAAACGCAAACCTAGGGATCCACGGAAGGGGGCCCTCCGGGCCTCATTTCTGCGATTTTGAGTTTCTCGACGAGATCAAAGGTGAGTTACGTGGTAGATCTCAGACCAGCGTCAAGTTTCCGAAATTTTCGATCTTGACTCTGAATCCTGCCGGCGAAAGACGCCAGATATGAGGAATGCGGGTGTAGAGCCTCTACACCGACCAGCTGGGAAGCACGTTCCAGGAAAGGTTGTCCCTGCCTGAGATCATCGATAGCAGCAAGTGTGTTTCTATGACACCCAGGGAGCAAGGAATGCGGCTGATGCGTCCGCCAGAAGTACCTCCGAAGGACTGGGAAATACCACCAGTATGGGAGAAGCCCGGCCCTCTGATTTCATGATCCATAGAGAACCATCTTGGTGTCAAGCAAGTTCGCATACTGGCGTTCTATGGCGAAGAATTTTCCGTGTTCGTGGGAAATCATGGAAAAATGGCATATCACTAAGTGTATCATTAAGAAGTGAATATATACAGTGGAAACACCCAGCTCTCTCGAATGTAATCCAGGCCGCCGCAGCGTCTTGCACCCTGCGATTTGCAGCTCCACAGAGGCTTAGACCTGATCAGATCTTGCCAACACCAGCGCCCAACTTGACAATGGTAGCCACCAGCGGCAGCGGGGTCAACTTGTATTTGTAGGGCGCCTTCGTGAAGGTGCCCACCCGGGTGATGTTGACGCCAGCATTGCCCCAATCGTTCTCTGCAAACGGGACGTGGTTAGCGTTACTGACACACATCAAAACCAAGGTCCATTCAGCTGGTACTCACTGGCTCCCAGGTTGGCGAACCCATCCAGCTCCTCATCACCACAGACGCACGTGTTCGGCGAGTCCTCGGGGATGACGAGACCGTACGTGCTGAGAGCCTCGCGGGTGTCGCCCCGGAAGACGTTGCCCTCGACGAGCACCTGGTTGTCGGAGCGTGAGTGGATGGCCTGGTAATGGAAGTCGACGTAGAGGTTGTTGTAGACGTGCTGGTGGCCGAAGCGGCCGGCCGGGCCGCGGGTGCCCATGTTGCGCCAGTAGTTGTGATGGTAGGTGACGTGGAGATGGCCGAAGTCGACGTCGCGCAGCTTGTCGTCGTTGCCGACCAGGGACGACTTCCAGTGGTCGTGGAAGTAGTTCCACGAGACGGTGATGTAGTCGGACGCGCGGATGATGTCGACTTGCCCGTCCTGCAGTGGGTTAGTACCTATCTGGAAGTTGTGCTGGGACGAAGCGAAAACACCCACGGTATAGTCCGGTCCGATGTTCACGTCGAAGATGGACGAGAACTCATTGTGGTCCACCCACACCCGTGTTGAGTTGCGGATGGTGATGCAGTCATTATCCAGGATGTTGGTGATCTTGAGGTTTTGGATAATGACATTGGTCGCGTTGATCACGTCAAGGCCCTTGCCGGTGATGTGAGCCGACTTTCCGACGCCAATGACGGACTTGTTGGACCCAATCTTGGGACGGCCGGCCGTGAAGTTGTACTCGCCCTTGACGTACACGATCTTGGGCTCGTCGCCGGCAACGGCTGCACTGAACTCGGCAGGGCTGGTGACGGTCACTTTGGTGCCGCCCTTGCCGCCGGTCGTAGTCCCTCCGACCGGGTTTTCTTTGGCGTAGCCTTCGATATCCCACGAGGCAAGGCCGAGGGCGCCGAGAGGAGAGGCTGAGGCCAAGGGGGCCAGAGCGGAGAGGACGGTGACGAGGTTGTTGAGCCGCATGGTGACAAGCTGAGAACCTGGGATTAGCTGGGACGAGCTGCGGATTGTAGCGTTGATCTCAAGATGTAGTGGGCATACCCCTTAATATACAAGATCCGAGAAATGGGGTAGTCGTCGGTCACGTCGCCGCCAAGCCCACGACCACGCCTCCATCCCTGCGGGTGCCCCAGATTCCACGGGTACCGAGGGCATGGAAAAATGATGCCCAGCGGGGAACCCTGTCTGAGCAGCATCGCGTCCAGATGACGCCTTGGTCCATTGTTGCAATTTCCCCGTCCGAAGGAGGTTGCTTTGCCAAGCCGGCATCGGTTAAGGGGTAATAGCATCTGACTGGTGGGAATTTTGGAAACCGCCCAGAAGCCAACAACGGTTCTTGGGGAAGCGGCTTGGCACGCTCTACATTGATCTGTGTGACGGCGAGTCGGCGACGCAGGTATCGCCTGCCGAGCCGAACTGGCCGCGGAGCCCCAGTCAATCTTGCCCAAATAAGGTGGCGAGACGTGCTTCTCGGCACGGATCCGAGTCGGAAATTGAATCCTCAGCGTGTGGAGGAAGCAGAATGCTTAAGGTAAGGTAGGGCGACGAGGCGGCGCAACTGCTGACCCGCGTGTGACTAGCTGGAGTCATGCCCTCGGCTCCACGAGTTGAGGAGCATTGTTGCTTTGACTGTTCCAGACGAGTAACTGCATGACCGCGATGAGAGCGTGACACGAGGTAGAGGGCTTTGAATATGATCAAGCAACGGGGCACTGATTGCGACGAGCCTTGGGGCGACCGGACTCTGCATGGCCGCTTGTTCACTGCAGAGGGAGATGCGGTTTTCACACATGTATGTTTGCAGCCTGTTCTGGTGGGTTGAACGCACGTCGAGTATCTGTCAGCATACCTTGGTTTCTGGCGGCGCCTGCCAAGGCAGGATCGAGTTAGATACAAGTTTGGATCTTAAGGCTGCATTTTCCAACGTATTCATTACCTGGATCAGGGACTAGTGATGACGCATCCAGCTGCAAGCTCAACGTCAAGGAGCAGCGTTCAGCAATTCAACTCAGGCACTAGCCCTTCTCTTACGGAGTGTCTTCAGGACGATCCTTCTCTTTCCTGCTTGTTCGTGATCTCCCGCTCGATCCTCGCAATGACCCCTTTCAACATCTCAATCTTCTGCTCGCCTAGCGTCCCGGGTACTCCATAGCCATCAATCTCATGCCTGACCTTCAGTGTGTACTCTAGTGCCTTTTCAAGATTCCCAACGTGGTAGTAGAGCCTTGCGGGCACCTCGTACATATCTCCCATCTGCTCCGTCAGACCTTCCTCGTCTACGAGTGTAAACAACCGTTCTGCCGCCTCGATGGCCTTGCTGAACCTGCCTTGCTGGGCAAGCTCAACAACCTTGTCTTGAAGTCTGCGAATCTCCTCCCGGCGAGTGTCGGACGCTTTGAGTACTACCGGCGGAGCGGTGCAAAGAGAGCATTGGCTGGATTCCGTTAGCCACAGTCATTGATGCTCTCGATATGCCTCGGTTCTCATAGCCTAGATCTCTAGATCTGGCTGGACTTACCATTTGAATCCCCAGACGTTTTCCAGACTCTTGTGTCTCTCTTTCGATGTCAGACCTGCCCCCGTGTCTGAATAGAAAGTCAGAAGTGGCTTGAAGTTCTCTCAAGTGTCAACCTCACTAACATGTGATGGTAATCTCCTCTTCTGGTTCAATATCGCGGGCCGACCAGACCGTCATGGAAAGTGTTGTTTCCGAAAAGTGAATGAAAGCACTGACAAACCAGTTAGTTAGTAAACCCTTTGGCATCGCTTCTTTCCTAGGAACTTACTTTGGTTCGCAAGCATGATTGAACCTCTGCCCACGGTTAATTTCGAGTTAGCTCCCACCTCCATCCCGCCGACAGCGAACAACAACATCCCAACAAAGGAAACATGAAAATGGGGTGCCACTCACCGCCAAATCAGTAAACAAACCCATGTACTCCTTTCCGCCGATCACAGTCCCAAAGCTATTCGTCAACATGACATCCTCCATAACACTCATCCCTTCTTCGCCCTCCTCCTCCTCAGCCACCCTCCCACCCCTCCTACCCCTCCTCGACAACCCCTCCACCTCCTCCGGCTCCCCCAACTGCGCCGCAGCAACCCTCAGCAACTCCCGCACCTCCTCCCGCATTACATCCGCCGGGTACTCCACCACCGCAAAGATACTCGCATAGTCCACCAGCACCGCCCTGCCCTTCTCGATCCGCCGTGTGGCGATGGCGCCTTTGCCCTTGCCGGGAATGTCCCTTACCTCGTACGGGCGCGGCAGCATCAACTTCTCGGGCGCGAAGAACGGGGCATCGAGGGCGTGAAGGAGCGGGTTGAGCGCGGCCGAAGCTTCGTCGGGGGTCGTGATGACGCTCAGGCCGTGGGCGGCGGGGGAGGAGGCGCGGGTGAAGACGCACCAGGGGGTGGACGAGGACGGGGTGCAGTAAGGTTTGTGTGTCCAGGGATGCCATGAGGATGGGGGTGTGGCAGTGGATGAGTCGAGGCAGGTTGTGAGGTTGCGATAAACTGGGTGTGGGGCGGCGTCAAGGCCGCATTGTGCGGGCGGTGGGTTGGGAGAGGAGAAGGAGCCGATGGTGAAAAGGAGGGCGATGAGAAGGGTTGTCAAGGACCGCATGGATGCTGATGATGGGCGTGGGAAAGGGCTTAGGATGGGATGCTGGGTCAGTTCAGGTTTGCTACGGTTAAGAAGTTGGGTTGATCTGGAGGTTACAGCTTGGATTGTCCACGGGGTGTTGTTTCTGGCCTGGTGCTTGGCTGCTCGGCGTCGTTGTTTAGCCGGGCTGAATATCAGAGGCTTCATGGACTAATGCCAAGCTGGCGGATGCTCGCGGTGCTACGGAAGATTCACCCGCAGTGTCACCCAAGGTTGCGCTTGCAATCTGGAAGCCCTTCGAGGAGACTGAAGTCGACATCACCAAGCTCTATTTAATCGCTTGCTAAACGCATCACTGTATCCACCATCGCCTCGACGGGAACTTTGATCCTCGAGTTACTAACTACACCGCAGCCATGTGAATCTCCATCCGCTCCATCGTCTTCCACCTTAACTTCACACCCGGAGCGACGAAGTAAATCGCGCCTTCGCCCAGCTCAAAGCTACTCCCGTCAGCTTCCATAGTTCCACTCCCCTTGGTAACAATCAACACCCCCGGCCCATCACTCTCTGCAATCTCATCCTCCTCGCCGGCCGCCAGCTCTGCACGGAGCATATCAAACTCGCTCATGGGCGGACGATACACTCTCGTCCTCCCCGTTTTGCTCTTCCCCGTCTTGGTGCTAGGCAATACCATATCCGCCTTGGAATGCGCCTTGAACGTCAACGTGTCGGCAAATATGTCGATGCTGTTGCGGTCCGTGGGCGGACAGAAGCCGGCGTTCAGCACGTTGTTGCTCCGCGCCATGCACTCGACAATGTCGCCGCTCAGGTAGGCGTGGATGCCGTCGGCGGGTATATACAGCGCGTCGCCCGGCTGCAGGATCATGAAGTTCATGCAGAGCAGGGCGACGAGCGAGCCGGGGTCCTGCGGGCCGTATTGCTTCTGTAGGCGCGGGAGGAGATCTAGAATGTAAGCTGCCGAGCCGAGATCGGATTTGGAGGCGGAGGAGATGGAATCCTCGACTTGTTTAACAGTGTTGTCGTCGGCTTTGAGGAGGTTGCGGGTCACGTCGCGGAGGGTCTTGTCAGTCCACTGGGCTGTGTTGGCTGGGACAAAGGGTTGGAGGGCCGGGAGCTTGAAGAGGGGCTCGATTTCGGAAAGAGGTTTGAATCCAGCGAACACTTCGAATTTGGACAGGGCGACAGCAATTTCCGGTTTGTGATTGGGGTCCGTGAAGTTCTCCGGGTCCTCGGCATGCAGTTTGGCGGCCAGGTCCTTGTTGGGGTGGATCTGCAGCGGGAGGGCTTTCGCAATGGACAGGATCTTCGGAAGAAATGGGAGCTGGGCGCCGAGATGATTCATGACTTTCTTGCCCAAGAGCTTCTCGGCGTTCTTGTCCAGCACGTCCTTGAGGAGCTCGCCAGTTTTCAAGACGCGGGCGGGGTAGTCTGGGTAGTCCCCAAACCACATCTCGGAATAGTACTCATGGTCCTTGACCTGGAAGTCCTTGACCGTCTTTTTGCATAGCTGCGCCGCCAGCGACTGGTGCCCCTGCTTCCCCCAGGGGTAGTCGTTGCAGCTACCAGAGAGTTGGAATACACGGTCCGTCATGGCTTGACGTGGTGATTGAACGATTGATGGTTGTCTGGGGTTCTGGTAGTGAGCAACCGTTGGGTCCGGTGATGAACATCTACAGTTATGACAACTTCCAGTTCTTGTTATTTTATAAGATGCAGATCCCGATGTCGATGTCGTCATTCCTCATACTGCCGGCAGGTGGGGCCGCTTCCATGCCTCCCGGGACCGGATCTCGGCCGGAAATGCGGGTCCATGCTCCGTCAGGCGATGGGCACAGAGACCATGTTGTCTGGAGGTGCGTTGCAGTCCGAGTGCATAGGGCTTATTGATATCTTGACGTGCCTATGCTCATGAACTACTGCAAACCCTCAACTTCTCACGAGCACATTGGTATGTAACTGTCGGAACGAAGCTGCCTTGATGGCTGCATTCAACGGACCTCGGTGGTTGATTGGTGCCAGCACTGCAACCCCTCTTCCTTACATACTTAGTCC